CCGGCCGGATCCGGGCTGGCACGCCCACCCCTGCGGCGGAGGGCGGCGGGTTCGGTTGCCCGGTGGGGACGTTTCTTCTCTTCCTCTGCCCTCCCTCCCTTCCTCTCTCCCCACCCGTCCCCCGCACCTGCCCGGCCGCCGGCTCCTTAGCCTCTCCGGCGGACGACAGCGGCCCGCACCCGCCGGGGGAGCCGCTTCCCCCTCAGCCGCCGGCTGCCGCTCGCCCCGAGCCGGGATGTTCTCCAGGAAGGGCCACGCCGATGTCAGGAAATCCACCCAGAAGGCGCTGGACCCCAAGCGGGATGTGCTCACCCGCCTCAAGCACCTCCGGGCGCTGCTGGGTGAGTGGGGGGGGGCACTCGGGGTCGCTGCCCCTTTTCCCGCCGCGCCGTGAGGGGCTCCCCTCAGGGCTTCTCCCCGGCCAGGGAGAGCCCGGGGCGGCGGGAGAGAGCCGCGCTTCTCTTCTCCTTCTCCGGGAGGAGCGGCTGGCCGTGCCCGCCTGTCCCCGGGGCAGCGGTGGGAGCCGCGGGGGGCTGGCTGGGCAGGCTTGGCCGGTCAGTGCACCTCCAGCCGTGCGGGAGTGCTGCGTGCGGTGGCCGGGTAAGAGCCGTGTCCTCAGGAGGCGACCCAGACCCAGCTTCTCATCGCCGAACTCTTATTGGAGATAACCCTTTTCCGCCTTAGGTTTCCTCAGCTTTCTCCAGGCTCCCTCTGCGGTTTTGGGGGAGCTCCCAGAAGCTCCCTGGTTAGGGCCACGGGAAGGTAGCAGTGTGTGCCCTCCCAAAATTAGGGGAGCTGTTAGGAGAAAGTTAGTGGTGCGTTTTGCTCCTCCTGGCTTTGGAACCTTGTTGTCGCCCGGTGGTAAAATGTGGGTGATGCAGCATTGTTGTTTGCGTACAAAATAGTGCAGAAATGTCTTTCCTGCAGGGTTCTTCAGAAGATCCATTCATAGAAATTCTGCTCTGGTCAACAACGTTAATTTGGTGGCTTTTTTTTATTATATTTTATTTTATTTTTTAAAGTTTAAAGGGGGTCCTGTAACTGTACGTTGTGATGCCCTTCCCCTGTCTGTGGCGAGGTTGAGCCTCTTTCTGTATTGTCACCTTAGAGTTGAAGCCTTAATGCTGGTCTTTTTATTCTGTACGTTGAAAGCAGTCGGTGTATTTCAGCTGTGAGCTGTGATTTGCAAGGATTTGGGTGGCCTCCTGTCCTCTGTTACTCAGCAAACTTCGGCAGGAAAGGGCTCTTTTAAGAGCTTTTGTGCACTGTCCCAGTTCAGGAGAATTAGTGAGAGTGTTAGTATTTGTTTATCTCCTGTTCGATCGTTCCCCTGAGAAACAAGGAGGAAAAAAAAAAATGCTGTGCTTTGTACTTCTTCTATACTCTTAATTATTTTTCAGTCTGCTGTTTCGGTCAAGGTTGGCAGGTAACTAGGAGCCTCGAAGACTTTGCATTACGAGCTGTGAGAAGTAAATCAGTGGCTGGAGGAGAGGGTTTGAGGTTAGCGGCTCCTTGGCAGAAAGCAGAAGTTGGGCACTGTATCTTCTCCTGAGGAACGGCTCTCTGGTCGGTCAGTTGGTGTCCGTGTGGTTCCCCTTGGACCTCTACGTGCTCACTCTCAGTGGTGTGAAGGACGTGTGGAGCACGAGTTACTGCCCAGGAAGCAGCTCGGGCCTCCCAGAGCAAAGGTGCTCCCCTTCCATCTGCCTCCTGCGTTGTGCTGCGAGACTTGCGCTGAGGAGCTTCGCTGTGGTTTGCAGCACGGGCTCACCGGTGGTGCTAGAGATTGAGTTGGAGATTAAAAGCTTTTTTCCTGTGACGTTCCACTGACAGGAGCAGAAATGCAAAAGAAGTTTTGAATGTACTGCAGCAAAGGAGGAGCTTTTGTGGTGAGGGCACTGGGCATGATCCTGAGTGAGAAGAGTGGTGATCAGTCTCCCTCGGGATGGTCCCTTCGAGAAAGTTGTACTCAGTGAGAGCATGGAAACATAAGGGTAGAGTCTGTGATAGATTAGCTTGATGTGGGCATCTTGCTGATTTTTTGGGGTGCGTTTCTTACAGGTGTGAGTAACCATCACTCTGGTTTAAAGATGTTATTCCCCTGTGATCTACTGCATTTAACTAGCTAACCTGAAAAAGAGATTTTTCTAGGTAATTGATAAGTGGATGAAGTGCTGCATGAATCCATAAGGGGTCTTCTGTCACGTTCTAAGAGTGGCCGGGTCTTGCTCATCTTTTGGGCAACAATACATGTTAGTTCAACATGCCCAAGACAGAGGTGTTTAAGCTTCACGATTTGGACTCGCAGGTCTGACCACAGTGCCTGCTGGTGGGACACGAGAGGCTGACGTGGTAAGAGTCCCTGAGCACCTGCAGTCTTCACGTTTTTTGTGAACGGTATTGAACATCTCCTTTGGAGTTAGCTGGGGGTGAAGGCTATGGGACCACTCTGGGTATAAATTCCTCCTATTCCATAAGGGTATGTTAAAAATCTCTGTAGTTACTGACCTTGTGGTCAGTTTTGTGTTCATCTCCCCCTGGGGACCAAAAGTGTACATTTCTTGTACTGGAGGTGTAGAAAATATTTTGTTTGCTTGTGGAGTTTGTGTTTGGTTTTGGTTTTGTTTTGTTTGGAGGTGTAGAAAATATTTTGTTTGCTTGTGGGGTTTGTGTTTGTTTTTGGTTTTGTTTTGTTTTGTTTTTTTAATTATTTGTAACATTTATCTAAGTAGCTTGTGGGGTTTGTGTTTGTTTTTGGTTTTGTTTTGTTTTGTTTTTTTAATTATTTGTAACATTTATGTAAGTGCCTAAGGGCAGGAGTTTGGAAAGATAAGAGATACCTTACCTGCATGACAATATGCCTTTTAACTAGATATGTCTTATTGCTTATGTGCTGTACAAACAATATTAAAATAATGTCAAGTTCCATTGTAAACAAATTTTCAGAAATCCTTTGTTTACGAGATGAGGTTTAGAATGTTTTGGGAAACCATCCTGAGAAAGAGTGGTCTAAGAGACTGTAGTGGGAGCTTGCAGACCTTATATTTCTTGCTTTTCCACCAGCCTCACTAAAATAAATGAAGTGGGACACGAGAGGCTGACGTGGTAAGAGTCCCTGAGCACCTGCAGTCTTCACGTTTTTTGTGAACGGTATTGAACATCTCCTTTGGAGTTAGCTGGGGGTGAAGGCTATGGGACCACTCTGGGTATAAATTCCTCCTATTCCATAAGGGTATGTTAAAAATCTCTGTAGTTACTGACCTTGTGGTCAGTTTTGTGTTCATCTCCCCCTGGGGACCAAAAGTGTACATTTCTTGTACTGGAGGTGTAGAAAATATTTTGTTTGCTTGTGGAGTTTGTGTTTGGTTTTGGTTTTGTTTTGTTTGTTTGTTTTTTTAATTATTTGTAACATTTATCTAAGTGCAGGAGTTTGGAAAGATAAGAGATACCTTACCTGCATGACAATATGCCTTTTAACTAGATATGTCTTATTGCTTATGTGCTGTACAAACAATATTAAAATAATGTCAAGTTCCATTGTAAACAAATTTTCAGAAATCCTTTGTTTACGAGATGAGGTTTAGAATGTTTTGGGAAACCATCCTGAGAAAGAGTGGTCTAAGAGACTGTAGTGGGAGCTTGCAGACCTTATATTTCTTGCTTTTCCACCAGCCTCACTAAAATAAATGAAGGAATATAAGGAATATAACAACTCTCTGTTAATGTTCCTTTCTCAGAAAGGCATGCTTGGAACCAATGACTAATTTGAGATGAAATACTGGACTTGCTATGGTTCTTGGTTATACCCATCTTAATGTGAGCGTTCTGTTTTTGTGTGCCAGTGTGGTGTGGAGGAGGTTGTCAGGCTCCTGTGACAGACCTGACGGGTGGAACAAATGGAAAAATACCCCTATTAGTGTGGCGAAATTAATTTATGTCCCAAAGCAGATGGTACAGAAGGTAGCGTTGTCTGGTGGTTTTCTGTACAGATACTTATTACCCAGTTGGCAAGGGGAGGAAAAATACACCCATCCTTTCTCAGGAAACATCTTTTCTTCCAAGTGCCTGTTTTATATTTGAAGATAGTGACCTGATTTTTTTATTAAACTTACTATTGAACATTGGTTTTAAGTGAAAATGGTTATCAGTGCCAGAGGGCTGGGTAGTATATTAGTGGCTTGTTGGCTGAAGCGTTGATGTGACAGCTGGCTGTCTTCTAGTGGGTCTGTTTTATTGCAGGGACTATGTCAAAGCAGGCTCTGGTTAAGTTCCTGATATATCTCCTTTTGAGAATGTCAGTGTAAACATTTTAGATAATATGGCAGTGGCTTTTTGAAGATAGTATCTTCAAAGATATCATTGCAAACGTGTGTTTTATGGTATTGTCTTCAGAGAAAATGAAGCAACGGGTGGTAAGAATCTCTCCTGTATTAAAGGGAAACAAAGCCCTTGGTATAAAAGCTCAAAAATAGTTGGATGTTTGTTCTTCCTGCCCCCTCTCCCAAACGTGGCACTCCCAGTGGTGGCCAGGGGTGGGAATGTGTGTGTCTTACTCTTCCTCCCGTCCCAGTCATTTCACTCCCTGTCCTTGACTCCTTCACTCGGGCCATAGTGGCACATGCTTTCAAAAGAACTGCTCCTGTTCTTATGTTCCTTAGATGATGCCATCTTTTCTTCCTTTGTTTACAATTGAATTCCTGTGATTTAAAGCTAACAAAATGACAGTTAATCTTCTGAGATCCTGCTCACGGAGGAGGATAAAAATCAAGAGAAAAGATGGTGGTAATAGGGGAGGGATGAGGGAAAGGAATAAATAAGGGGTTGCGTGAGCACCAAGATCAACGACGCCCAGTTTTTGATGGCTTCAGGTCCCTTAGCTACCGTCTGTGTCAGTGTGTGCAATACCCAAACTGAAAGAGAAGATTCCCTTCAAATTTGTGTTGCTTGTAACATCTTGCAAGTCTCTAATGCCCTTAGGATCCCAGTTCCTGCTTCTGTGGGGTAGTCTGCCTGCATGACAATGCAAAACACTATGCAGAATAATATTATTTTAAATTGGATGTTCACTTATATTAGGTAAATGACCAGAAAATTTCCCTTTTTATTTTTTATTGCCATAAAGTTGTACTAACTTTTAGGATTTCCATACAATCAGTAGTAACTTTTTTCCAAATAGTGTGTGCGGACATGTCAATAGTAGGGTCTTTTTCTTAGGATAGACTTGAAAAATAATGGTCTTTTAAATGGTGGTGGTGATGTACAAGTTTGGCTCTTTCACACTGGTTCAGTAAGCCCTCTAGCCTCTGGGACATTTTCAGCAGAAGAATGTGTTTCTGCTCTT